TACTGCCAGTAAAACATGGTCTCAAGGTGAAAATAAAAGTAAAGGCATAGCTGTAAGACCCTTTATTAAAACTTTAAAAAGATTGAAGGCAGTGCCTCATAGAACTTCTCAGCTAAATGGTAGGGCTTCTAATAATTTCAAGGGTCTTGTCCCACAGCTTTCTGGAACTGAGTTAGATGACAAGATCCTGGACTTCAAGCCTGAATTTGATGCCATAGTGGGATGAAGTTTTGGGGGGGATCTTGAGAAAGTGTTAGTGTGCTTTGCATGTAAGAGGAATGTAAATCATTGCATGGCCAGAGAGTAGACTGTGGTGGATTAAGCATGGCTGGAGACTCTTTGCCACTCCTCCCATTAAAAGGTACGCAGATTTCTGCAGCAGAGGTGTCTTCATCTTCCGCATCTTGATTTTCTCACTGATGAGAGCAGGGGAAATATGAGATGTAAGAACAAGATCCAATCCTCAGAAAGAAAAAAAAGCCGGGAATCTGGATGCCAGCACACTGAGGAAAAACAAGAAGAAAGCACCAACTGAAAATCAGGGTATGCACCTTGGGAATCGAAAATGAGGAACCTGCTGTTCAAGGCCTGACGTGGAGCTTTCAAGAACTGGCCTGCTTAAGAGGATGAGCCTGGAGATGTCCTGATGTCAGGAGGGACTCTGCCCACTTTTATCCCACTAAAGTGGAAGCAGTGTGCGCAACCATAGTGACACCAAAAAATGAGACTGAACGAAGATGTTATGTTATGCTGATATTTGACTGATACATTCTTTATTAAGTTTACAGTTCTTGCAAAAAAATAAATAAATAAAAGGTGGAGTCCACTTCCCTTCCCCTTGAATCTGGACTGGACTTATGACTCCTTTGGCCAGTAGATTTTGGTGGATGTGTCAGTGTGTAGCTTCAAGCCTATGCCTTACAAGAGCTATAGCTTTTACTTTTGTGCTTGGAATGTATTGTCTTAGAACCCACCCACCATGCTATGTGAGGACACTCAAAGAGCCACATGGAGTACATGAAGGAGTTACCAGCCAGCAGTTAGCACCAACAACCAGCCTAAGGAATGAGGACATTTTGTACCTTCCAACCATCTGGAAAGTGTGCCAGCCAACACTATGAAGTGAAAGAACCTCCCACAGAATCTCAAGAAATAAAACTTTTTCTTAAGCCATTAAGGCTTGGAATATGCAGAACAGTTAGCAAAAACCCTCCCATCTCTATTGCTGCTGAGTTCTTGCCACTCCCTGGGAAAGGCTCTGCACCCTGAATACACCCTAAAAGTTTGAATGGTTGGGGGATCTTTTTCATTTTGTACATTTAATTGTTATATAAATATTTATTGTGCCCCATGTGCTAGAAACTGTGTAAGATACTATAATATCATAGGATCAAAATCTGAATCCACTTGACTCCTGCCTCTGCGTGGACCTCTTTATCTGATGTTGCTATAGGTGGTACTGAATTTTAATTTCCCTTGACTATTTTATTCTTGGCTTTCTTTTTGAACATATTATAAACTTTACCCTTATTATTTCTCACCCACATAATTTAAATAGGCTTTCAGCCGCTCCCTTTGTTTCTAATCCCTCCTTCCACAAACCATCCTGCATATCTCCATAGCTCAGTGATTCACTGTTCTACCGCTTCACATTTCTGAGACTCTGAAGGGTTCATGTGGAGATGGTATCTGTTACTTTGTAGTCTGTAGAGTGGAGAGAGCATCCTAGATGTCTAGTGCAACTTCCATGAAGACTTAAAAGGCGCTTTTCTCAGATAACTTTATTGTCTATCTTGTAAGCTTTCTCTTCCTGGGGAGATTTGGGGAAAAAAAAAAATCTGGCCTCTCCTAGACCAATTGACTTGCTCTGTGGGAGTAAGGCCTGGGTTTAGGTTTCTTTTAAAAGTGCCCCAAGAGGTTCTAAGGTGAAGCTGAGATTGAGAATCACTGTCTTAGATTTGTGATTCTTGAAAAGTGGTCCTTGGACCAGCAGCATCAACATGAACTAGGAATTTGTTAGCAATGCAGTTCTCGAGACCTACTTCCTACCTTATGAATTGGCCACTCGGAGGGATGGACTCTCATGTGATGTTTTAATAAGCTCTTGTGATTTTTATGTCCATTAATGTTAGAGAACCACTATTAGAAAAATCTAGGTCTCAAAACTACAACTGAGTTTGGGAAGTGTGTTTGTTATTTGAAAATCACTGTACTAACAAGATCTGAAAGAGCTGGAAAGGGACATAAGGAAACTGGTATATCAAATGTTACTGCTGGTGATCATTTAGGTACTTGAAAATGTTTAATGCGTGTCATTAAATCTCTCAAGAGTGGTTAAATGAGTTACTTAGCATAAAGAAAGGGGGCAAATTAATCAGAGATACTGATGCATTGTTTCCTGGAGAAAGAACTCAACAAAAGGTGAATTTAAATTTCAGTTAGATATATGTTAGTCCCAAAAAACATCTTAATGGGAAGTAGCACTAAACATTTTGAAGGGCTCTAAGGTGATTTTTAAATCAGTGTTCAATGAGAGTAATGTAGAGAACCACTTTTTGGAATTGTTCGGCTATAATCCCTGCCTGGGGTCAGAGACAGATCTTTGAAGTAGCCTCCAGTTCTCAGTATATAATGACACTAAATACCATCTGATCATCATTTGTTTATTTTTTCACTTGTTATTTTAGAAATGCTTTCAAAGTAAAATAAGGACTACTGGGAAGTACTGATGCCTAACTTGAATGTTGATTTTACAGTCTTAGAGACTTTGGAGTAAGATTGTCAGTGAATTCGTGTGTTTTGAAAAAGCTTTTATGACTTCTTAATGAGGTTTAAAAGCTGAAAGAATGGGATTAGAACTGCAAAATCCATTACTCTTAACATTTCTTTGGAATGATTTAGTGTGTTTGTATATTAGAAATAGAGATCTTATTTGGATTGAGTCACCATTGTTTACTAAAATATGGTCTGGAAACAATTTCCTGGACAGACAGTATTAAATGGCATAATGACAAAGGATAGCTATGCTTAAACTCTCTAGTTAAGCACTTCATAGGAAAATTAGCATCATTTTATATATAGGAATGCTGAGATATTTTATATATACTTAAATCCAGATGCTGTATATTTAAATATTAAGTTTTAGTTCAGTAGAAAATATTTAGTAGGAAAATGTTTAGCTGAAAAAGTAGATTGTATGTAATGGAAGACATTACAGAAAACTAGATTTACATCCTTATTCAAAAGATTATAATAGAACCCAGTTATAATGCAGATATTGGGTGAGTTGGGAAAGAGCGATAATTAGCTTTTTCTTCAGCTTTTGAGAGACCTAAGACTGTTAATTGGATTGACTGAGACCATGTCGTCTGGTGTGCATGAGGTTGGGATTTGAGTCTGAGGACCTAGGTTCCAGTTGCAACTTTATTTCTTGCAGGTTTTGTCACCTTGGGCAAGGTAAATTATTTGAGCCTGCGTTAATTTCTATGCATATAAACATAAAGAGTAATACTATTTATTTCAGTGGCTTGTTTTAAGTATAAAACAAATTAATGTAAATGAGACATGCTTTGAAGGTAGAAAAACAGATGTTAAATTATTAATAAAGTAGAAAGTGTATTTCTGATATTTAAGGAGAACTGTATTGTATAAAAAGAATCATGGCTGAGTAGCATTTTTGAATTATGCAATAAATTCTTTTCTGGCATGTTACAAATGCAGCTGCTGTGAAAGAATATGTAAAATGTTTCACACATCAGATGTCTTTATCATGCTCAGTGCACATAAATGCAGTCATGTGATATATGTTGTAAGACTTTTAAAAAGGCTTGTGAATTGTGAATGAGAAATTCTTACTCCAGTGGTGCCATGTAATTATGAATTAGTATACAGCTAGGTTCTTATACATACTAAGTGTGCTTTCTAACCTTCAAAACAATTTGATGCTGGATGGTGACTAATTGTAAAATAGGCTTTGCACATGACTTGGTAAACCCAAAGTAAGTTTCGGACATGCCCAGCTTTTTGATATTTGAAATGACAAGCTTACAAGATTATTGCTAAAAATATCTTAAATACAATTTGGGGTCAGTACTCTTAGGAGTATTTGAAGTACTTTTTAAAACGGATTGTATAATACAAAACCTCCCTAGAAACTTTTTTTTGAGGTTTCATAGGTACTAAAAGATATAATTTTTACATTCAATTAAAAACAAATTCTAGTATTTTACAATTTTCTCACAGTTCAAATTATCAATATATATGTAATTTAACTATCACAAATTATTGAACTATAAATGTTACAAATGGGTTTTATTAACCTCTAAATTAAACAAATATAAAGCCTAAGTATGTTTAATAATAACATAATTTCCAGTAATTTCAGCCATATTTCTGAGCTGTATCTGGAAAGGTGTATTAACTTGTCACTTTTTCTAATGAGATTGGTAGGCTAAATTTTAGGAGCACTGAGACTTATTTGGATAGATGTTTGGTTTTAAATATGGGTACAGAAATCACTTGGTGTGACAAGCCATCTGAAAAATGCAAATAAGAACAACTGTGTATAAGGAATGAGTGAGATAAATTAACATATGTCGACTACTTAGAAAAACTAAGTGTTCATCTAAGTGTTGTAGATACAGAATTTTAAAATATGTTGTGTTTAAATTTCTGAAGGAACTTCCCTGTAATTGAAAAGAAGTTCAGGGAGTGAGTATGGTTTAATGAATATGAGTGGGGCCCTGTAGATACAACTTTGCCAGAATGTGCCCCAGTGTGAAAAGTAAACTGGCCTGTGAAAATCTAAGCCAGGCACAGTGGCTCACACCTGTAATCCCAGCATTTGAGAGGCCAAGGTGGAAGGATTGCTTGAGGCCAGGAGCATGAAAATCTATTTGCCATATCATGTCTTATGACAGAGAGGGTTTCTGGAGACAGTATCTTCAGTTTGTTTGTTTGAATGACTATAGCTATTTTAAGATATTTATGTTTTCTCATAGAATGAAGACAAACACAGAGATGGTGTGTCTAAGAAACTTCAAAAGGTGTAGACCTCCTGACTGAAGCATATTGATTTATTTAATTTTTTTCATTATAGTAAGTATAAATATTTAAAACACATTATTCTGGTCAATGTTGACTTGTATTTTTATTGACTAAATATTCACTCTCTGTCAAATACCCTTATCATTGTTAGAGCTACTGTTGTTTTCATTCTTCTGCAATTTCAGTTGCATATCTTAAATTAATTTAATTCTCAGGACCTTTGAGAGGACAAATGAAACATGAATTCAGAGCTGAAAGAATCCTTTGAAATTATCTGCTTCACTCTTTTTATCCATTACAAGAAATTCCTTTGCAACTTCCCTGATGGATGGTCATTTTATTGATCAAGATTCTGCTCAGGACGTAGAGCTGAACTGTTTCACAGAGCAGCCAGTTCGATGACTTTCCACCACAGACTGAATCAAAATGTAATTTTCTAAAGCTTCCACCTACCTGGTTCTACCTTGGGAGCAAATCCACTATTCTTTCACCTGTGAGGTTGTTGTGCAAAAATGTAAAGATAAATTCTCAGGCTCACCTAGTCATCTGTTATCTCAGCTGAATTTCATCAATTGCCTGTGTTCCTCTGTAGGAAATGGTTTGGAAACAACAGCTCCTGGTTGGTTTTTGGCCCATTTTATCTTTAACCTGTAACTGAGCATTGGGTTTCAGTATTGTGATCTCACCAGGCAGGTACAGGAGGACTGCAGCTCCTTTATCTGGGTTCACCTATTAATATGGCCAGAAGTTATAATCAATATTTCAACATAACACCTATCACATGACTAGCTGAAAGTATGCATACATGTCAACTAAAATCCTAAAGTGTTTTTCACATGTTCTTTCTTTCATCCAGCAGTGTTTTCTACCATCCCTCACACCCCTGGCCACATCATATTTATAGTATTTTGAGGTCTAAGCCCAGGACTTTCTCTTTGCCTCATATATTCCTCTCATTTTAGTTTCTGTCTTACCTTGACACACAATTATGTAAGGCAGAGAGGTGAGGCGGAATGAGAAGAGTTGAGAGTTAGAAATAGACCCACTTAGCTGGAGTGAAGGAGAGAAGCCCTGAAGAGTTATATAATCCACCTGTAGGTCCTAGGAGGAAAGTGAATCCATATAATATAATGTGATGCCCAGAGAGGACACAAGCAGAAAGTAGTGCTCCAGTCCAGCAATTAAACTCAGAAATTGTAGAATGCCCTAACAGGTACAAGAGCATGAAGCTGTAGGGTTCAGGGTCAGATGGTCAGGAATATGCTGAGGATGAGACTTATTAACAGGGAGCAGGGACTCTGTAATGGGACTCTAAGCTTCAAGGCAAGATACCAGACCCCAGAAAGAGGGCAAATGAGAGTAAAAAAAGTCTTCCTGGCTGGGCACAGTGTCTCAGGCCTATAATCTCAGCTCTTTGGGAGGCCAAGGCGGGCAGATCACAAGGTCAGGAGTTCGAGACCAGCCTGGCCAACATGGTGAAAGCCCATCTCTACTAAAAAGACACAAAAATTAGCCGGACATGGTGGCATGCACCTGTAGTCCCAGCTGCTCAGGAGGCTGAGGCAGAAGAATTGCTTGGACCTGGGAGGCGAAGGTTTCAGTGAGCTGAGATTGCGCCACTAGACTCCGTGTCAAAAAAAAAAAAAAAGTATTCCTTGGGGATGCTACTAATACTAGGGTGTCTAGAGAGAAACTCAGGCCCAGAATAGATGGTAAGACTCCAGACTCAAGAAAATCCAGGAGAAGCCCTTGGAAATAGGTTAGAGCTGGACTACCAGCAAGGGAGGACCATGCTACCATTACTATTTTTCTTCTTTTTCTTAGCAGATATTTTCTAAGACCCACATATTTCCTTTTACCTTACTCTGTGTTATCTTATAGATGATCTGGATTTTACTGATTAGCAATTTTTGAAACGATGTATGTAAGACTCAACATAGAAATTCTCAGGAATGTTGTCTGAATACTTTTCAGTATGAAAATACAAGATAATCTTGTTTTCCTGAAGTCAAAAATAATTTAATAATGGAATATACCTTATTCGTTTATCTTTTTAGTACTTTGCCATCACAACATTAAACATGAGAGGGAGTCCCCGTGATCGAGTATTCTAGCAGAGCTTTTCTTCCTTATTCTTTTTTAAGCCATAACTTTTAAATACTTCCCAAGTTTTAAATACTCAAAGTTTTTTAATACTCACGTACTTAAATTACAAAGTGAAAGCTTGTGTGGAAAGGAGATATAATACATTCAGTGACAGGTTGTTTTGGGCACAGAATTGTAGACCCCTCTAAGCCTAAGGGGTAATTTTACAAAGCAGAGCTTGCTTAAAAGAGGCTCCTTGTGGTGACTAAAACAACTTTCGGGCTATAAGTGATGCTTCAGACATGGGAGAAGGTGTGGAAAGGAGCTTACTCAGACATTTTGGAAGGTACAATGTGACCATTGGAAATTAGGTGGCTGGCTGTGGTGGCTCATAGTTGTAATTCCAGCACTTTCAGAGGCCAAGCAGGGAAGATCACTTGAGGCCAAGAGTCTAAGGCCTGTGAGACCCTGTCAAATAAAGAAAGAAAGAGAGAGAGAAAGAGCGGGGGGTGAGGAAGGGAGGAAGGAGCATAGGAACAAGTTTTTCAAATGTCAGTTGAAGACAGATTGACTCCTGGTTTTTAGTAGCCTAGCCTGGAGTTGAAATCCAAGACGTAATGAGATAATTACCTCAAGAGCTCCCCCTAAATTTCTTTCTAGTCACTATCACTAGACGGTCCCCCATCTAAGAGACTATGGCTCAAAGTTGGATGGCCTATGGTTTCAAATGAAACCAGAAGACTTATGTGCCCCTTGATCAGCTCTCCCTTTTAGGTTTGACCCCAGAGCTAAATCCTGCTTGGGAAGGAGGGCATGTGTGTATGAGCATTAGAGTGAAATGCTTATTTGAGTACTTGCTTCAGTAGTGTTTATTTTCCTCTTCCAGTTTCTGTCCTCCTACAAGGGAAAGTCATGATTACACTAACTGAGCTAAAATGCTTAGCAGATGCCCAGTCATCTTATCACATCTTAAAACCATGGTGGGACGTCTTCTGGTATTACATCACACTGATCATGCTGCTGGTGGCCGTGCTGGCCGGAGCTCTCCAGCTGACGCAGAGCAGGGTTCTGTGCTGTCTTCCATGCAAAGTGGAATTTGACAATCACTGTGCCGTGCCTTGGGACATCCTGAAAGCCAGCATGAACACATCCTCTAATCCTGGGACACCGCTTCCACTCCCCCTCCGAATCCAGAATGACCTCCACCGACAGCAGTACTCCTATATCGATGCCGTCTGTTACGAGAAACAGCTCCATTGGTTTGCAAAGTTTTTCCCCTACCTGGTGCTCTTGCACACGCTCATCTTTGCAGCCTGTAGCAACTTTTGGCTTCACTACCCCAGTACCAGTTCCAGGCTCGAGCATTTTGTGGCCATCCTTCACAAATGCTTCGATTCTCCATGGACCACCCGCGCCCTGTCAGAAACAGTGGCCGAGCAGTCAGTGAGGCCTCTGAAACTCTCCAAGTCCAAGATTTTGCTTTCGTCCTCAGGGTGTTCAGCTGACATAGATTCTAGCAAACAGTCATTGCCCTACCCGCAGCCAGGTTTGGAGTCAGCTGGCATAGAAAGCCCAACTTCCAGTGTCCTGGACAAGAAGGAGGGTGAACAGGCCAAAGCCATCTTTGAAAAAGTGAGAAGATTCCGCATGCACGTGGAGCAGAAGGACATCATTTATAGAGTATATCTGAAACAGATAATAGTCAAAGTCATTTTGTTTGTGCTCATCATAACTTATGTTCCATATTTTTTAACCTACATCACTCTTGAAATCGACTGTTCAGTTGATGTGCAGGCTTTTACAGGATACAAGCGCTACCAGTGTGTCTATTCCTTGGCAGAAATCTTTAAGGTCCTGGCTTCATTTTATGTCATTTTGGTTATACTTTACGGTCTGACCTCTTCCTACAGCCTGTGGTGGATGCTGAGGAGTTCCCTGAAGCAATATTCCTTTGAGGCATTAAGAGAAAAAAGCAACTACAGTGACATCCCTGATGTCAAGAATGACTTTGCCTTCATCCTTCATCTGGCTGATCAGTATGATCCTCTTTATTCCAAACGCTTCTCCATATTCCTGTCAGAGGTCAGTGAGAACAAACTGAAACAGATCAACCTCAATAATGAATGGACAGTTGAGAAACTGAAAAGTAAGCTTGTGAAAAATGCCCAGGACAAGATAGAGCTGCATCTTTTTATGCTCAATGGTCTTCCAGACAATGTCTTTGAGTTAACTGAAATGGAAGTGCTAAGCCTGGAGCTTATCCCAGAGGTGAAGCTGCCCTCTGCAGTCTCACAGCTGGTCAACCTCAAGGAGCTTCGTGTGTACCATTCATCTCTGGTCGTAGACCATCCTGCACTGGCCTTTCTAGAGGAGAATTTAAAAATCCTCCGCCTGAAATTTACTGAAATGGGAAAAATCCCACGCTGGGTATTTCACCTCAAGAATCTCAAGGAACTTTATCTTTCAGGCTGTGTTCTCCCTGAACAGTTGAGTACTATGCAGTTGGAGGGCTTTCAGGACTTAAAAAATCTGAGGACCCTCTACTTGAAGAGCAGCCTCTCCCGGATCCCACAGGTTGTTACAGACCTCCTGCCTTCACTGCAGAAACTGTCCCTTGATAATGAGGGAAGCAAACTGGTTGTGTTGAACAACTTGAAAAAGATGGTCAATCTGAAAAGCCTAGAACTGATCAGCTGTGACCTGGAACGCATTCCACACTCCATTTTCAGCCTGAATAATTTGCATGAGTTAGACCTAAGGGAAAACAACCTTAAAACTGTGGAAGAGATCATTAGCTTTCAGCATCTTCAGAATCTTTCCTGCTTAAAGTTATGGCACAATAACATTGCTTATATTCCTGCACAGATTGGGGCATTATCTAACCTCGAGCAGCTCTCTTTGGACCATAATAATATTGAGAATCTGCCCTTGCAGCTTTTCCTATGCACCAAACTACATTATTTGGATCTAAGCTATAACCACTTGACCTTCATTCCAGAAGAAATCCAGTATCTGAGCAATTTGCAGTACTTTGCTGTGACCAACAACAATGTAAGTAAATCCATTCCTTCTTTTGTTCAGTATCTGCCGCACTTGTAGTGTGTTACATAGGGCAAGCAAACACACTTCAAATCATGCTATGTGTTCTCAAGCCAAGCCCAATCTGATCTTGTATAAATTACCAAAACACTGAGCATCCATTTTTAATCTAACTTACAAGTCGTCATGGAGATTTTATGAAAAAACATATAAGCATTTGGCACAATTCCTGGCACATAATAGTTGCTCAGCAAATGTTTTTCTCTTTGTGTTTTTTTCCCCCCAATTTTCTACATAAACATCACAAAATATTTTAAACTATTTAATTCGTTATGGTAGAGCTTACTTTTTGTTTTATGAAGGTTTTAGGTATTTAGGGAGTTTGGTAAAACTTTTCCGCTTTCCAAATCTGTCATAATAAAATAACTTCTTATTTTAAAATGCTGGGATTATGAATTATTCATAAATCCTTTTTGTGACGTTGTGAAAAAGATTTGAAATCTGCATGCATGTCTAGAAAGATGATTCAAAATGAAAGGCCTGCCTCCATAATGCAACACTATGGCTTCTTAGAAGCTTTTTCCAGGATCCATACTTTAGAATGAACCATAATTTGCAATAGTAAAGCCAAGTTAAGGAAAACTTAACTTTACCAAAACATGAAAAAACAAAATAAATGAGTAGTTTCCTAGGTTAAGATATGGAGGAGGAGGAAAAAGTAAAAATTCATGGTAGTCTAAAGGTAAGAGAGTGAGGCTAATGTCCATTTTGGAAGAAAGAGGGAAAACCTGGTCAGAAATCAAATCTACCAAGGGATGAAACTGACATTCCTCTACTTGAAAATGGGTACAGCTGTTCCACCACTCTTCAAAATATATTATCCAAAAATTAGCTGGGCGTGGTGGCGGGTGCCTGAAGTCCCAGCTACTCAGGAGCCTGAGGCAGGAGAATCGCTTGAACCCGGGAGGCAGAGGTTGCAGTGAGCTGAGATTCCGCCACTGCACTCAAGCCTAGTGACAGAGCGAGACTCTGTCTCAAAAAAAAAGAAAGAAAAGAAAAAGAAAATCTATTATCTTTTAGACTTTTTGTAGTTCATATGTCATGGTAAATATAGTTATGAGCATCGTGTTGGCTAATAAACATATTAATTATACATTATTTTTGAAAACCATGGGTGTTAGAGAAATACCAGAAAATTAGGGGGTGAGAGCAAAATTCATGCTGATTTTTAGAACTCTCTGACTTTATTCATATATAAAAGGAGCGAGTCCATTGTTAGACAAATGAGACATCTTCAGATCTTAAAAGTTTGTGAGATTTTAAAACTGCATTAGGATTGACCTAGATTAACAGTGTGCAACAGAAAGGGCTTGCTGAAACACAGATTCCTGAGCCCCGCTCCCAGGGTTTCCAATTCAGTAGGCCGGATCTAAGACCCAAGAGTCTGCATTTCTAAAACGTCCCCAGGTGGAGCTGATGATGCTGGCCTAGTGACTGCACTCTGAAAATCACAGGTCTAGAAGTATATCAATGCCATTTAATTAGGCACATGATTAATATTAATATTTTGCTCACATTTTTTTATTGTTAAATTTTAATAAAAATATAAATAATATTTTTAAAGGCATTGGTTCCACTAAGCAGTTACAGACAGTTAAATCACTTTCAAAAATGGATTTTTGAAAGTTGCAGCTTATTCAGGTGTTAGCTGGCCATGCATTATTTAAATGTATGAGCAGGTGAATGTTTTCACCGAGTTAATGTAATAAAGAAACCTTAAGACCCTTAGTACTTTTGACACAAGTTTATGGAATGGAATCCTGGACAATATCTGAAGAATAAGTGTGAATATCAGACACATGCTTTCTTGAATAAGAAAGGATACTTTGTACCACAAGAAAAGTCTTATGCTGAAAATACTTTATAACCAAAATAGAATGGTATCTTTTTGAGTGGGTTGTCCCAGAAATCTGAGAAAAAAGTAGTTGCTGAGCATCTTTGGAGCCAAAATGATGAACATGACATCTTTGGTGAACTTAGAGTCAAAGAAACACTGTGCAGACACTATGTAACAACAATATAAATAAACTAAAACTCATCAGAGGACAGCCACCAGGAAGATGAAAACCCTGATGGAATACTTTAGCCTCATGATGGGAAGTACAGGTGGGAAGGGAGAATCGTCCACAATATTGGTCTTCAGATATTTGAAAAATTTACATGGAGAGTAAAACTTGCTGGGAATAACTACAGTGTTAGAACTTAGGGCAAATGGAGAGAACTAGGGCCAGCAGGGAAAGATTTCTCATCTTTCCCATAAGCATCCAAAGATTGAATGAGCATTTGAGGAGGGAAAAGTCATTTTCTTATTAATAAAACTCTCCAGACAGGGACTGCCAGATACTCAGCAGGAGGGTTGTTAAAGGGCATCAGGAATTCATGTTTCATGTGGGGATTTAACGAATTTCAAGATTATTTCCAACCTTGAGAGTCTCATGATTCTGAGTTAGACCAAAATATTGAACCATGAGGTCAGGAGTTCGAGACCAGCCTGGCCAATATGGTGAAACCCCATCTCTATTAAAAATAAAAAAATTAGCCGGGCATGGTGGCACGTGCCTGTAGTCCCAGCTGCTCAGGAGGCTGAGGCAGAAGAATCGCTTGAACCCGGGAGGCAGAAGTTGCAGTGAGCCGAGATTACGCCACTACACTCCAGCCTGGGCGACAGAGCAAGACTCCATCTCAAAAAAGGAAAAAAAGAAAATATCACACTGGCTGCATACATAGTTAGATATGCATATACTCAGAAATTCAAGCCAATTAATCCATGTGGAATGGCAGTTGATAAAGATTCCTATAGCATGCATTTTAAACGTCTGATCTCAAGACTTGGGCAGTGTATCAGGTTTATAGATGGAGGCAACAAATACTACCTCGTAAGCAGAAAAGACGTTAGTTGAAAGGATATTAGGTATCTCATATTACCACTGAAAGGACTGCAAAAGTAAGCTTGGAAAACAGGCACAAAGTAAGACAGCAGTGAGGACTGTAGCCAGAATCATAGCGGAAAAGCACAATGGTGAGGATACACTTCCGAGGACCTTACCGGCTCAGAGCACTGGTTCTGTTCCTGAAAACTTGATGTTGCTGCTCTTGTGACCCTGGGCCTCCCACAGAATAGATTCTTCGTGGCTTCGACTTCTTTGTGATGTTAGCCCCAATTCAAAGTCCGAGTCTGAGCAGCTGATTGGCACAGCTAATGAATGCCCACATTGTGGCTGTAAGAGAGCTGAGAACACAAGAATCTGGTGGTGGTAGTTTCTCTAGTAGGAAGTGAGCTCTACTACCCACCAAGACTCATAAGGTAGGGAATTACCTCGACATGGGAAGGTATTCGGCAGTCCCTGGGTGGCAGATATTCACTGAGCGGGAGAGCCTTTAACATATGAATATGCGTTGTGCTTCTCCAACGAGAGATGGTATGCAATATTTGCCAAATGTGTTTGAGCAAGATGCTTTTTTTATAGAGTGACTCTTGTGTTCTGTGAAGCATACCCTAGAACACTGGATTAGGGAAGTGTTAAAAAATAGAGGTCATCCACAGAGGACTGAAATAAGCGTGCCCAGATGTACAAAGAGATGAGACCATTTAGTAAGGTGGGTCAGAATGGAGAGTGCCTGGAAATCTCCTGGTCAAATTCATGTTTGATTCATTGGATAGTGACTAGGGTAAGACTTGAGCTTGAAAGTGCTAGTTAGCCTGAACTGGTACCTTCAAAGGAGGCTCTGATTGTAGCATATGAAAGGCTTGTGAGAGGACAGCCAAGAAACAAAACCCCATGGAAAGGCTGAATCAGTTACGATTTAGAAGTAGGAATCCAGATTTAAAACAAGAGACAAAGACTCTCATACTTGAAAGGAACACTGAATCCGCAGACTGCAGCCTGGGGGTCAGGTCTACCCACTGCCTGTTTTTATACAGCCCAGGCTAGGATTGGTTTTTACATTTTTAGATGGTTGGGGGAAGAAAATCAAAAGAATATTTTGTGACCCATGAAAATTATATGAAATTCAAATTTCAATTTTCACAAACAGATTCCATTCTTCTTATTAGGGGGCCTGTATTACAACAAAATGATATTCAATTGTTATATTTTGAATTTCATCACTTAAAAATGTATGGAATTTTTTTTCTATTATATAAGGACCTACATAATATTTTCAGTTTTGCTTCTTGGCCCAGAAAGCCTAAAATACTTATTCTTCTGGTCCTTTGGAGAAAAACTTTGCCAGCCCCTACTCTAGTCCACTTCCCTTATTTTACTGATGCTCAGAGCAGTTCACCTGAGGTCTGAAGTTTCCTGGCAAGGGGGCTAGGATGGAACCCAAACATTCTGATTTCTACTCTACTGTTCTTCTACTATGTCTCGTTGGATCAATCCAAGTGATTTTACATGGGGAACAGTATGTGCGGGTGGGCGTGGAAGGTGGGAGAAATGGAGGCCAAGATCCATCCCTATCGCAGTGCCAAAGAGTAATTGGATTATGGTGGCATTGATTGTAATGGAGAGAAGCACAAGGCTTTGAACTAGGTTTGCTGAAATCTTAGACCAGTCCAGTTTACAGCTAGGTCTTCTTACTTCCACATTTGTGCTTTTTTTTTTTTTTTTCTTACATTAGTTTGAAGACTTCTAGCCAGAAGATGAATAATGTAGAAATTCCTTCTGAAGATCATCTGTGTGACACTGAGTTTTGTTGTTTTTGGCATCACTACTTAGAAATATTCAGCTGTGTTTCTTGAAATGATTGGACTTTAGGGTTTGGTAAGCATTTCCCAAGATAGCATGTGTCATTGGCCAGGAAAAAAAAAAGGAAATCTGGTATTGAGAAGGATTCTAAAGTAAGATCCCAGCCTCTGGGAAAAAGCGGGGGTATTTAATTTACAATGTCAGCCATAGATGTAAAAGAAAAGCATCCTGTTCTCGGGGACTTCAGTTCATTTTGCTGAAGACATTTGGTTGTCAGAGAATTCTAGGATGTAGAGAGATTACATAGCCATTAGTTTTTGTTGTTGTCATCTATTTTGTAGTTTATTATATAGTTTATGTAGGTGTGTATTATATATTATAGTTTATTCCATAAAACCATTTTGTTGTTGAAGTATGTCATCCCCATAATAGCCTGTAAGCTTTCTCATTGGTTTTTTAGAAGAAATCAGTGATCCATTAAGGTAATATTTTGCTCTCTGGCTCATGTGTCATACAGTCTAAGAAAGGGCATGCTAAATAAATTAGTTTTAAGTAATTGTTTTCCAACATTTTTTATAAAATTTGTTTTTATAAAATTTGTTGACCCAGGCAAAATTGGAGTTCTTGTAAGCTTCAAGGCAAACTATTTTTAAAACTATAAGTAGATTTTTCAGGATACAATTGCTGAGTTGAAGGAAAGTCTTGAGTCTTTAACAAAACTCTCCAGGCTCATTTAGAAAAATTGAATGAGAGTAGGTGAGGTAAGATCCTGTGCCTTAGTTGGGCAGAGAGCTGGAGAGAAAGCCCTGGAGATGGACCCTTGCACATAGGAGTTTTGCCAGCGCAGCTCTTGACTCACATTCACAGCAGCAATGCTAAGGGACTGGCCCTGAGGCTCACTCCCACTGCCTTGGGAAATCCCTTTCCTCTGCTGGAGCCTGAGAAGTCCACTGAAATCACAGATGTAGAGATTTGAAAGGAGACTGGTGGGAATGTGGTAGTGCTGATAACCAGACAAGACAGTGAGGGCAATGGCTTCAGGGTAATCACCCAGTAGGAAATCAGTCCAGTTAAAGGAGGTTCTTGCTGGGAATCTGAAGCTGACTGAAGAAGGGAAATATGGAATTCCCTAATGCAGTTCAGGTTAGGGTACTTTTCTTCATACCACTCATTACAGACAATTGTGTAATTGTTTAATGTTTCTCTCTTCCGTGAGACTAGTGCTTCTCAACTGGGAATGATTTTGCCTCCCAAGAGACATTTGTCTGGAAACATTTTTAGTTGTCACAACCGGGAAGGGGAGTGTCACTGGCAACTGGTGGGTAGAGGCTGAGGATGCTGCTAAACATCCTACACTGCACAGGACAGCCCCACAGCAAGAATTTTTCCACCCAGAATGTCAACAATGCTGAGGCTGAGATGTCAATGGTGACCTGCATTATTAGGCTAGTTTTCAAAGGCAGTCTTTCTAACTCAGTACTTTATCCCAGCAGCTAGCTGGGAACCTGGCACATCAGAAGGCACTCAGCACGTGCTCACTGAATATAAATGAGCCAAGCCTAATTTCTTTTTTAGCCAGTTTGCCTGAGTCATTTCATAGGCACCAACAAGCACTCTTAATAATGCACACTGTAAAGGACTGATTTTTTCTCCACTTGGACATCACGGACCCTACTTCTGAGCTGCAGGTGCCTCTGTGCAGAAGGGCTTGCCTTAGAAAGAGGTTGCATTTCTTCTCATCTCTCTGCCTCATCTCTCAATATAGGTCTGCATATGTTGGGTTTGCATTGCTCTTGGAAAGGAAATGAAAGTAAAGGGTAGATATTTTTCCCTTTGTTTATATCTAATATTTTAGTGTACAGTGATGATCTATATGGAATGTTGTTCTTAGCAGTGACAGTAATTAGATTTATTTTTAAGGATATACAGCACTGAATGTGTGTTAGAGGGAGGGGTGATGTTGGAGAATGGAGTTTACAACATCATTAACATTTTTTATGGAATTTGGTCATTTTTTAGCTTATATAAAAGCTATTTATCCTTTTGAGGAGAGACAGTTCTGGATGGCCCTAGAAACTTGTCTCCCATCAGGTCTGCATTAGCCCATCAGAGGATATAGGCCAAGTCCCTGAGTGCCCTTTTTATCCCTGTTTCTAACAAAGCCAGTTTTTGAACCAAGGAACCTACATTATTTCATAGTTTTGTAGGTGGCCCCTGTCCCCAGCCAATATGTAAAGTATTATGGGGGTGGGGGGCGGTGGTATGTGCAGTCTATCTATGCTGAGGCCAGACTTACCCCTCAGTGAAGTGATGGGTTGAAGGGATTGTGTATGTGCTCAACTTCTTCTCTGGAGGTCTTTCCTCAATAAACCCTATTTCTTGTATGTACTGTGGCTCCCTTAGAAATCGACATACAACCTATCTACCATATAGGGGAGCAGTCAACGTGAGCAGCTTTAGGAGTTAACCTAATTTGCATAATATGTATTATATTTAAAATTATCTCTGTATTATAAATTATTTAATTGAAACCATGCCAGAGGGAAGGAACAAGAGTAAATATTCAGGTGTATGTGTATGTAGAGGGGAATGAAATGTGCATGTATATATAATCATGTTTTTTTGCTTCTGCTTCTGTAGGCTTTTTTAAAAAAGAGAATAAAGTTCTCAGGCTGCTCTCAGGATCTTAGGATGTTTTTAAGGGTATTATTCATTACATTACACAGTAAATGTTTTATGAAGACTCTTGAGGGTGATTTATTTCTGATCCAGGACTCAAGAGTAATTATTATTCTTCTTACTGGTTGGTTTTTTATCTTAACGACAATGTGTGTATAACTACATTTTCTTTAAGAATTGCTTGTTAGAGTGTTTAAAACCAAACTCGTTGCCCACCCATATACAGCAAGGATGTAGGTGTCCAAGGTAGCCACAGTCCTCACTCCTCGCTGTACTCCTGTCTTTATTTTCCCTCTATCTTTTCATCTGCTTCAAATTTATCATCATTGTGGTCTACATCACTTATAAACCTCCAGAAATGTGTTTTTGGGCAAAAGGTAAATGTCTTATCATAAAACACCAAAAATCTATTTTACCAATTTCTTTTTTCTTCCCTTTCTAGATTGAGATGCTACCAGATGGGCTGTTTCAGTGCAAAAAGCTGCAATGTTTACTTTTGGGGAAAAATAGCTTGATGAATTTGTCCCCTCACGTGGGTGAGCTGTCCAACCTTACTCATCTGGAGCTCATTGGTAATTACCTGGAAACACTTCCTCCTGAACTGGAAGGATGTCAGTCCCTAAAACGGAGCTGTCTGATTGTTGAGGAGAACTTGCTCAATACTCTTCCTCTTCCTGTAACAGAACGTTTACAGACGTGCTTAGACAAATGTTGACTTAAAGAAAAGAGATCCATGTTTCAAAATCATTTTTAAAAGTATGCTCGGCTGGGCGTGGTGGCTCACGCCTATAATCCCAGCACTTTGGGAGGCCAAGATGGGCAGATTGCTTGAGGACAGGAGTTTGAGACCAGTCTGGCCAACCTGGTGAAACCCCATCTCTGCTAAAAATACAAAAAAAATTAGCCGGGCATGGTGGCATGCACCTGTAATCCCAGCTACTTGGGAGGCTGAGGCAGGGGAATTGCTTGAACCAGGGAGGTGGAGGTTGCAGTGAGCCAAGATTGTGCCACTGTACACCAGCCTGGGTAACAGAGCAAGACTCTGTCTCAAAAAAAATAAATAAATAAAAATAAAATAATGCTCCAGGGCTTTAAATGAGAAGTATAATTTTCTAAGTTAATAGAGATGAAGAATGGGTGACTATTATGATGAACCATAACTAAATGTCTTATTAAAGCAACTCAGTGTCTAGCCCTAAATTAACCAGGTAAAAACTGTTAACACTAACCTGAAGTTTGTGAATAATTGTTCTTTAACTTATTGAGATGTTGCAAGAAATGCACATCGAGGGTGGACTGGGAGCTATGAAATGACTGAATTCCTCCTTGCAGTGTTTGCCTTCAAGATTGTATAGGTGTTCTCTCCTCTTCTTCCCCCAGTCCCCATTACTTATTTGCACACTTGTTTTAACTGACTTCCTGTTTTGATATTTATCACCAAGAACATAAACTCATCAATATGAATTGTCTTGATGTATACTCACCACTGTCTTTGATTTATGTTCCTAAATTTTTTTAGATGGGGTGTATTGTGCTTGGCAGAATTCGTTTTTGGCTTAATTTTTACTTCCTTTCCCAGCTTGCTTGAGTCTTCCTTAACCTGGTTTTCTCAACACCAATGATGACCCTGAGAAAATGCCTGCATTTGGCCTTTGCCTAGAACAGGAGCTGAGTATTTAAGATGTATTATCCCTGGGGCATCCTGAAAATTAATGTATTCCCCAAAATTTCTTCTTGTCTATCATCAAGGCCTTTTTTTATTTGTTAAGAATTTTTATATTAAATGTAAAACATATAAATATTTTCTATTGTATAATCTTGGATTCAAAATCTGTGAGGATTGTTTTTGTAAGATACATAGAATTTATGCATTTCTTTATGAACTTACTGTTAGTGTAGTTGGTTTTGGCTGTTTATGACTCTGATGTTTGTGTACATTCTGCTCCAAAATGTTTTTGTACTCTGCAACTAATTACTTTTGGATAACAAAAGCCTTGTGTTTAATGCCCTAAAGTATTTGGGGGTTTCCTTGTGAGAGAGTGGCCGAATCATCTACCTCTCTCTTCCCTAGTCGCTGTGCAATCGTACGGGTACAATTCTTAATTACTTACAAAAACTGTGATAGAGGGGAGAGGTACAGATTTGGTTTTGAAATTAATTTTAAAATATAGAAATTTAGTAAGAGTTAAAGCAAAAGACTTTTTTTCCCCTCCATCTGCGTAATCTCTAGCTGTGATTATAATGTAAAACAGCCTCTATTCAGTGTCTAAAATGAGTTCTCAAAACCCACAAAGAAATAGATCCATTTAACTGAAATTCATCTCATGCCTTTATCTAACTTTTCTGGAAAATACATTTTGCTCCTTTTTATAAAGAGCTTTGTGTTTGGCCTTTTATTATGCATATTTTTTAATGAATAAAATCAACTGACTCATTTTTGGGAAATGTACATCTTTAATGTGTTTTTCCCTAAGGGTCTAGGCATTATGATGCCACCTCTTCATTTTGGATATAACTATGAAGAAATCTATTAACTGCACCTACACAAAACGGGAAAGCACTATAGGTAAACAGTACTGTGTATATGGAATTGTAGTGCGTGGTAAATGTTTTCTCTTGCTTTGTTCCAGAAAGATGAAAGTGAGTCTTTAAAGCATAGCAAATAGAGCTTCCCTCACCTGCCACACACTCCTGCACTAAAGTTCAGAGAAAGGAATTATTCAAATCAAATGAAATTTGAATAATATTGGCTATAAGGAATATAGGACACCAAACACACTGCCTCACACATTATTGTTTATTCTGAATGGAAAGGAACAGTGTAAAAATAAATGACTTAACCAAAACTTGCCTTTAGTCAGAACATTCAGCTCTCAGGGAAGCAGGTGTAACTGATGAAACTTCTAGGACTTCAGAAAACAGATTCTAATTATATCCATGTTTTTTGTTGTTATTTTCTTTTTTTTAAGTGTGAGTTGATGTTTATTTTAGTGTTTCACAATAGAATTATCATGTATACTGATTCCAGTGTGGTATATGATTAAGTTTTGGACATGAATATGCCAAAAGTGCTTAAACGTTTTTGGCCACATAACTAGCTAGAATTTGTATGAAAGAATCTCACCCTCTTTTATAGGAGGAATTTTCAAAACAAAATTCAGATTTGCTACCATTCACCTGACGAACTTCTCCATGGCTCGTCACTGGTTTGGTTCAACTGCAAAAGTCATTGGCTAAATTTCCCTTATCACCTACATAAATTTCTAGAGGAATTTACTAGCAGGATTAATAATAAATATTATAAACTGCTTTCCACACACTAGGGTATAATTATTGGTGCAATCTGTATTGTTTTTGATGCCATGGTTTTACATCTTTTAATTTAAACCTTATACGCCAGTGTTTAGGTCGCTTTTGAGACAAGGTAGCCCTGATGCAAGGAGCAATGAGGCTACTACTTCACATAAAAAATAGGGTGTTAATACCACCTTTACTGTACAGTTGGAGCAGATCTTTATTTCACAAGTGTTCGTATTCACTTAACAGAATTTTAATAAAGACAATTAAGTTTGTTAAATTATAATTATGAGACTTTCGTTGGCATTTGATTTCAAGAATACATATGCATTTTCCAAAAAATAAATGTGGAGGTTATTCAGAACAAAATTCATAGCTTATGGTAGTAATGGCATGGGTTACTTTTATTTGCATGCACACACAGACACACATACTTCATGTATGTAAATTATAATATTATTTTTTGATATATCTAGTGGGGTTTTTTTCCCAAAATTGCAGGAGGTTGTAGATTAAATAGTAGGATAGCAAGTTTTTCAATTCATTAGTCATGAAGTGCTGTATTCCCTAAGTTATGACATTTAAAAGAAATCACATGCTCAACCTTGATCTGAGAACCTAAGTGTTTCTGAGCATTCCAGTAAAGGAGTAGTGTTCTTTTCCTAACTTACATCAGGGTACATCTGTGTGGCACATAGATACTATATTTTCATTCTTCACTCCCAGTCTTAATTTCTTTCTCCTGTATGTCACTGTATTTTATGTCACTTCACATTATGTTAAACAGGGTAAATAGAGATCCTCAGTATCTCAGTGCTGTGGCATAGCTCCGATAGGTGTGCTGTGGTGCACTGCAGTGATGTATTTGCATAACATTGTTTGATAGTGAAAAAATTTTTTTTCTGTTCAAGTGTTTTGTGATTAAAATTTTATGTTTAATTAAAATATTGCATAATATTGATGGGTTCAAAAACCATTAAAATAATCAAACAATTATTCTGTGGCCTTAACATTATTTTCTTGCGTTTTCAATAAAATTTTCTTTTCATCTTTCCATCTTCACATTCTCTTAGCATCATCCTGTGCACATAAGGTATGTTGTTTTTCTTATTCACTCACCTACTGCACTAAATTTGATCAGCACTTTAACAGAATATATTTATGCTAGAAGATTTGCAATGATATTTGAGCATGTATTTATTTAGGAGGAAGCCATTGCCTATAATTATGTCTCATTGAGTAGTTTTATTTTACCCATCCTGCAGTATTTACAGCTGATCTCTACCCAAAGCAGGACAATGTAACTGTTTTGTTTTCAGTAACTGTACATTGCATCAGAATCTGTTTATTTCTTTTTGGAAACAGAGACAGAATGGTGGGAGAGGGAAGGAGTTATTTTGCATTCCAGTTTGGATTATGAAGTCATTATATATATTTGAAATAGTGTAAACTAATTACTGTTGCAGAATGCCCTCGATATAATTATTTCTTTTCAGCTGGATGTGAAAAGCTGAAGCAGTGAAAACCTGCAGTCCTATTTAATTGGTTTCCTTCTGTTTCTTGTCCATCACTTCTGTATCCACAGGGAGCTATCTACTGCATACCTTTGGTAACAGGCTACCTTCTCTTCAAATTTTTAATATGAATAATTTCATCAGCACTAAAGCATTAACATAGAATAATGAGCCGAAGTACTGAATTGAGATGGCTTTCAGTTGAGCTTAATTTCATATTTAACTTTTGCATTTGACTTGTATAATACACTACTGCTGAGAAAAACAATTATGAATGCCTTCTGCATGTTGTACATTATTTCTAGCAGAGATGGTGCAATTTTAAGAATACAAAGGGGTATAGAGTTAGAATGGATGTGTTCATGCATGTATACGTTGTGTTTAAATATTAACATTTACAAGAAGATTTTTTTAAAATTCTTCAAATATTTCACTCAGTGAAATAATGGGCCAATCTGGAATAGAGACATTTTCTTTGGTTAGTGCAAGAGTGAAAACTAGCATTTGTTAACCTTCACATATTTATCTGTGCACAATTGTTTTTGCTTCTGGTAATGAATTATTAGAAAATGGAAGATTTTGTTCAATATTTTTGGCCCTCAGGTTTACCGTGTAAATCTGCATTTTTGGTGGTAAATCCCTTTGCCGCAGATTCAGTAGCTTTTGGTAAACTTCACTGTTTTTAAAGTACCTTTTGTGTAAAATAAAGATCCAATTTTTATAACAAATGGCAAATAAAAACACTAAATGCTGGAAGAAGTTGACTGTACTAATTTTAACCAAGTTCCAAAAGTGATTCCCTCACTCTTCTCATGCTTCCTTGTACCGTCGTATTGTTATTCACCAAATGATAGATTTCAGATTTACATATGAATCTTACAACAGTGGTATGAGTTTTCAAAATATGCTACCATGGCCACAAAATAACAAGCACCTGAAGAGCTGCGTGGATCCTAGAATACATGGGTTGTGAGGGACAGTAGATCTCTCACAAGTGGGCCCATCTTTCCTTGGAATTACTCAGGGAACAATGTTCATAGAACACCTCATCTCCTTTCTTCTTGGTGTCTGTTTCTCCATTTCCTGTTTAACATTAACACTGAATTGTGAACCAGGTAAGCAAAAGCTAAAGAACTGCAAGACAGACAATTCTGAGATGGTTTAGTCAAAGGAGAAAAAATTGAATTACTGAATACAATATGTACATGATAGTTTGAACTTTTCGATAGAAAACAGTCTCTCTCCATCTCTTACACACACGCACACGCACACAGTTTCAGGACCACATTAGAAAGCTGATAGCCAGAACTTTGATGGAATATATATAGACTGAATCAGATTATGAAGGAAAGTAACTTAATTGTTCCCTGGCCATATTCTCTGAAAATGCAGTAAGTCATTCAAGAAAGGCTTCCCCCATCTCTTAAGTGGTTCAGGAATGGGAAGTCTATTGAAATGAAGTGAGTGCCTGCCTCCAGGCATTAGCAGCCTTTCAGGGACTGCTAGGTGCTTTGAGATGCTGAAGTTATATGCTAACAGTCTGCAGGGCAGTGACATGCCCCCCTAAACACAGCAATAATTGTGGCTTCATGTGCTTCAGCATTCACTTCCACATTTCAAAGTGGCTTTTTGAAAAAGTGGTAAAGGGCTTGACTGGAAGGGAGAGACTCCGGTGCTGTTGAGGGCAGGGTTCCATTCTCTGGAGCTGCAACTTTTGTTATGATTTGTTTCCTTCTCCTCTGTTCCCACCTGGTGTTCTTTGTTACCCTCATTCCTGAGGTCTAGGGAAAAGCAGTTTACCCAAAATGCACAAAGCCAGACCTCAAACTCAAGTCCCATATTTACATAAGATCCTACATCGACATGCTAAAGAAGGATCCGAAAAGGCCTCTTTCACATGCGTAGTCCTTTTAAAATGCAAATCTCTTTATCCCATGTTTTCTCATCTTACCCTAGACTCAAGTTACGTCTTTCTGCCTCCTAAATAGCAGAGATTCTATAGAGCTGCCTGTCATCTCGTGAGATTTTCAATTTCCTTATGATAAATACCTTCCATTTTGGATCCCTTTGTATTCCTATAGGGCTCAACCCACATCATTTTTTACTCTCTACCTCCCTCTGCTGCTGAGAGGAGAAAATGTCAAATAGAAGCATGCCACTAGCACCCCCGTGTAGGTAAATATAACTCCAGATTCTTTTGGAGAAAAAGATGCCTATCTTACTTACCTGCGAAGCCATCACAGATTCTCTCTGCTTTGCTTTAACACCAAACCTTCTGGTCAGTCCTGTTTCTTCACTGACTATTCACTTCTTAACCCACTTCTGTCCAGCTCTCCACATGTCCCAGTTTCTGCCTGCCCTGGTAATTTCTCTTACACAGATTACCAATCACTTATTTGCCAAGAGCAGTGACTTCTCAGTCCTAGACTCTGTAGGTAGAGTGGAAATGCCTTTTTAGGTTTATCAACATTTGTAAATCTTGGCCAACCTTCTTCCTCATGGAGTGTGGGCCTCACAATTGCAGGTATAAAAGATTTACAAAGTTAGGAATCAGCACTGCCCCTGCAATTACTGTTTTGGAGCCTAGCCTCTCCTTCCTGATACGGTCCTTAAACCACAGCATCCAGTTTCTTG